AGTCTTTGTTTTGCAGACGAACTCTTGGCAGCAACAACAACAACAAAGATGGAGATGAATGAACTTGTGAACTACTTCCAAGGAACTTGTGAACTACTTCCCATCAAAGAACTTGTGAACTACTTCACACCAACCCGGAAGCCAGTAAAGACTGCGCGGCCCACTATTTACTGAACGGTTTCCTAGAAAAGTAATAATGGGTTTATGTCCTTTGTCTTTTCTAGGGTGATTGTTTACTGAACAGGTCTACTCGACCGCCCAGCCTTCTTGGGCGTTTCTTGCTTGGAGGCCATGGCTAGTAGGTTGGATGCCATCGCTAGCCATGGCTAGTTGGAAGCCATGGCTAGTAGGTTGGAGCTGATTTCTATCACCCACTCGCTAGGGGGATTTGCCGAAATCCCTTTGTGTTTGAAGCCTCGGAACAATGGCCATTTCAACCATTTCACAATGGCAACCCCAATGGAGTGGATGGCTCCTGATGATGCCGAGCCGATGCCTGTTGATGATGAGGAGGAGGTGCTTTCTTTCCCTGCAGGGCTGAAGTCGACACCTTGCATTGCAATCCAACGCTCTGCGATTTTCTCCTGCTAGGTTGCAAGAGACCGGGCCCGGCCCCTAGGTTGAAGCATTGTCGTGCTGCTGACAACATCCCAGAGTTACGTTTGCTGGAAAAGTTTGTAAGAAAAGCGTTGCTCAATGAAACCGAGTCCAAGCATGGATTTCATGCCTTGCTCAACCGGTACTCCTGCTCAACTGGTACACTGGATGGTCTTGTACCTCAGCAAAGGCCAGAATCAAACGATAAATGAAAGATGACTGTCATATCTGATAGGCTGTGATGATTCATGATGAGTCTTTGTTTTGCAGACGAACTCTTGGCAGCAACAACAACAACAAAAATGGAGATGAATGAACTTGTGAACTACTTCCAAGGAACTTGTGAACTACTTCCCATCAAAGAACTTGTGAACTACTTCCAAGGAGATGGGCATCTCGACCCAAGCTAACACCAACCCGGAGGCCACTAAACACTAAAGACTGCGCGGCCCACTATTTACTGAACAGTTTCCTAGAAAAGTAATAATGGGTTTATGTCCTTTGTCTTTTCTAGGGTGATTGTTGACTGAACAGGTCTACTCGACCGCCCAGCCTTCTTGGGCGTTTCTTGCTTGGAGGCCATGGCTGGTAGGTTGGATGCCATCGCTGGAGGCCATCGCTGCTAGGTTGGAGGCCATGGCTAGTAGGTTGGAGGCCATCGTTGGAGGGCATGGCTGGTAGGTTGGAGGCCATCGCTATTAAGTTGGAGCCATTGCTGGTAGGTTGGAGGCCATGGCTAGGTTGGAGGCCATCGCTGGTAGGTTGGAGGCCATCGCTGGTAGGTTGGAGGCCATGGCTAGTAGGTTGGAGGCCATCGTTGGTAGGTTGGAGGCAATGGCTAGTAGGTTGGAGGCCATTGCTGGTAGGTTGGAGCCCGTCGCTGGTAGGTTGGAGGCCATGGGTAGTAGGTTGGAGGCCATCGCTGGTAGATAGGTTGGAGGCCATCGCTACTAGGTTGGAGGCCATGGCTAGTAGGTTGGAGGCCATGGGTAGTAGGTTGGAGGGCAAGGCTAGTAAGAATACTTTTGCTTCGGTCCGGGGTTCCGCCCCAGTACTTGAATCAATTGAGCATCAGGTGGAGCAAACTGCCATACTTGTCCCAAT